GATAATAATAATAATAATAATAATAATAATTTATTGTCCAAACAGACTATCTAGTCTAAATACAGGACAAACTTAAATATTGTTCAATAAAAGCCGCACAGAAATATAGAAAAATTAACAAAAATGTAACAAAAATAATAATGATAGATTTATAACTAAAGCGAAAGAAAATTATTAACAGAGTTATAGAATAAACAAAGTCATAAATCAAAATACAATATTGGTAAATACGAGAAATTGTATTAGTGCAATGGCAAAAGCAAAAAAGAAAAAGACAAAAATTATTGGATCATACTTATAAGGAATTTTAAATTAGTGTTAAATATATCAACAGTATCACATACCGAGTAATAATTATGACACAATCGATAAATTGGGGAATTTTGTAAGAGATTTGTTCTGCAATAGGGTAATTTAAAAGTTAGGAAATGTCTGGAGGAAGAACGAGGCACAGAGAAATTTAAATAATTGTGTAATGTGACACAATCAATTTCATTCCATAATAATTTGTACAAGAACGACACACTTATTCTTTTACGTCTGCTACTTAAGGGTAAAAGATTGAATCTTTCTAGCAGTAGATTTTGTGGGTAACCTCTTGTAGGGTAGTATCCATCACAACGAAATGCTACATATTTTAAAAGACGACGTTGTATACGTTCTAGGCATTCTTCGTGTTTTTTAAATGCTGGATTCCATACTAGTACACCATATTCAAGCTTGCTTCGTACAAATGTGGAAAAAAGTAGTATAATAGTTGACAAATTTGCAAAATCTGAACCAATGCGTATAATAAAACCTAAGGTTTTAAAAGATTGCCTAACAATTGTATCAATGTGTAAGCTAAATGTTAGCATGTTATCGAACAGAACCCCTATATCCTTTGTTTGAGTGTCTCTTTTTAAGGGTGTATCTTGAATTTGATAATTGTATCGGATTAATTGACGCTTGCGTGAAAAAGTTACCACCTTGCATTTATCAATGTTCAGGTACAACCTGTTTGCGTTACACCAATTATAAACACTTTCTAAATCGCTTTGAAGGCTCTCGCAATCCTTGTGGCTTGTGACCCTAGTGAAAATTTTTAAGTCATCCGTAAACAATAATCTCTGAGATGAAATTACGGAGGGTAAATCGTTAATGAATATTAAAAAGAGAAAGGGACCAAGAGTTGACCCTTGCGGCACTCCAGATGTAGGAATAAATGATTGTGAGTCATGCCCGTTATAGGAAACAAATTGACGTCGGTTAGTTAGATATGACTTTATTAAATGAACAATAGGGCAACTGAAACCATATTCGACAAGCTTGTTTAAAATAATGTTATGATCAATTTTATCGAAGGCTTTGCTGAAATCTGTGTAAATAACATCAACTTGCTGTCTATTATCTAGTGTTTCAGAACAATATTGCACAAAGCAAGTCAAATTTGTAACAGTTGATCTATTGGGAACGAAACCATGCTGGTAACTAGACAAATGCGTGTTAAATTGTTGATAAAGTTTTTTGTATAGTACTGTTTCAAAAACTTTGGAGAAGTTGCATAGAATAGATATGGGGCGATAATTTTCAACTCTAGATGCCAAACCTGTTTTTAATATCGGGCACACCTTAGCAACTTTCCAAACAGCTGGAAAAGTCCTTTGTTTTAAAGATAAGTTAAACAAAATTGTTAAGGGATATGTTAGAATACAAGAGCAATCTTTAATTAAAAAGGCAGGTATTTGATCAGTT